TAACCAGGCACCATCTAGTTCTCCTGGTCTGATTGTAGTTTTGATTTGCATTTCCCTGATGATGTGGAGATCTTTTCATGTGCTTATTACCCGTTGCTGGAAAATGTCTAGTTTCTTTGCCCATTTTTTAATTAGGTTGGTTGTCTTTTTTGTTGTTGAGTTGTAGGAGTTTGTTATATGTTCTGGATATTAAACCCTGATCAGATATATTATATGATTTGCAAAAATTTTCTCCTATTCTGTAGGTTGTCTTTCTGATTTTTGCAAAGTTTCATGAATTCCGTTCCCATGTAGTAAATATATAGTTCATGATCATGTCCTAACTATGATTTTGCTCAGTGCTGAGATGGAAATGGCAGCATGGAATGCAAATATATAAACCTCTGGCCCAGAAATCATATAATATATAGCAAAACTCCAACTAGGCCAATGGACAGATTAAACAATTAATTATGTAGTTTTATATGATGGACACCGAAGGTCCTAGTACCTCAAAACAAATCTCTGCCTCCTTTGTCCTTTAAATAGGCAATCAAGTTGCCTGAAATTCTTATACCAATCATTCATGTCCTTGGTATAAGAACTTTGAAGGCCTTGATTAAAATATAAGTATGTACGTATATAGGTATGTTATTTGGTAAAATATTAAATCGTTATAATCTATTAACATACTGAAAATTGGTTATTAAATTAGCTAGTGACTTATCTAGTAAAGAAAATGGGATAAAAGACCCATTCATTTCAAAATTTCAAATATCCTTAAAGGTTGTGAGGTAGGACAGAGTAAGGGAAGAAGGCAGGGAGAGAAGTGTGAGATTAGGCTCAGATCAAGAGAATGGCTATAGAAAAAACAAAAAAACAACCAATCCTTGTCTTCTTCACACTTTTGTGTAGGGCTAGTCTGACTCTAAAAGTAAGAGCAATAATATTGTCGCCAAAAATAAATACTATATATTTATCACTGATAAACCATAAAACTTATTTTCAATTTAACAATTCACTTAAGCATTTTTGAAACATATTATAACAACAGTATAGAATCACCCCTAATAGATAGCTCCTCTATTCCCTCTCTAGTTGTAGCTATGTAAAATAAAATTGGGATTTTTCTTATCTTCTCTCTTCTTCTTTTCTCATCTATAGGGACTCTTTTTTTTTTTTTTACTTATCAACTTTTTTTTTTTATTGTACTTCAGGTGAAGGCTTACAGAACAAATAGTTTCTCATGAAACAGTAGTACACATATTGTTTTATGACATTGGTTAACAA